CCTTTATTCCTTCTACGTAAGCTATAAAAGTAGATTTACCATTTCCAGGCAGGCTACAGATCTTACTCCTTTTCCACTTGTCCCCTACCAGCCATTCGTTAAGTAGTATTTTATTGGCAGCTTTTGAACAGGCCTAGGATTGGGAAATGCAGACACAAGCAGAGGCTTGTTGGCTCGGGTTCATCCTGGAGACCTGTGCTCTCCTGCCTGAAGCAACCCTGGTGCAGCTCTGGTGCTCTGGTTTGCTGTCAAACCAGGCAGAAAGCTCAGCTGGGCAGGTCATCAACAGCTTATGAAGTCTCTATGGCTGTTGCCATTACTGTTGTGCCCCTTTGGTTCCACCAAGAACTCCTGCATAGGCAATCTGTGTGTCCCTCACAGCACAGCGTCACCATGTTCTGCCACGGTGGTTTAGGCAGCAGCACTCAAGTGACTCTGCTCTTGGGTACGATGCTTGAAGTTACTTTGGTCCTCAAATTATGTTCAATCCTGCTTTTCTCCCCACTTTTTTTTTCCTATAACTGGATGTTACTTTTTCTTCTGTTTATGTCTAGGATCCAGGGACTGCAGGGATCTAGGCTTGGACCTTTAAGAGGAAACCTCAAGCCTCTTGCCCACCACCACCTGGAGCTACAGCATCCTTAAACACCAGGAAGAACTTTGGGTTGAGCTTCAGTATCTTGCTGGGTAGGTCAGCAAAGAGACAAGATGGTTTGCTGGTTAAGGTCTCTCAGTGATATCCACAGCTAGGCTCCATGCTCTCTTAATGTTGGGCAAGTCTTTGAACCTGTGCCTCAACTTCCTCAACTGTAAGTAGTGAAAAAAATTAAAAATAATGGATAAAGGACAAGGTGGTGAGCAGGTAACTGCCCTCATGCTTCTGTGTGTGCCCTGAAAGCGAAGAGCAGGAACAAATTTATTTTATAGAAGAGATATGAAGGCACATGAAGATTACAGCTCAGGTCTGTTTTCTCCATCCATCCCCAACATGGTTTCTGGTTTCCATGGGCTGTCGTTGGCAGGTCCTGCCTTGGCGTGCTGTTGTGTGTGTGTGCCCCAGTGAGGTACCTCTGGTGAGACCCAGGGAATGTGAGGTGAGAGAAGCCTCTCAAAGTGACACAAGAAGCAGTGACTAACAAACAACAGCTTAGTAAGTAAAATACACAGGAACAAGACGAGCACAAAATGAGACATCCCCACAGTAATTTTCTAACCTCCAGCAGCTCCTGCCTCCCAGGTTTCCTTCGGCAGAGGTGGCGTCTTAATAACCTGGAAGTAAAGTGCTTCAGCTGTCAGTATGGGTACAATTTGTTCCTTGTACACAGAGATACAAAACTCTTCTGAACACACATGGAGCCTGGGCTTTAAGTGGGTCCATTAGATATAAAATGAGGCCTCAAACATAGGAACAGAGTAATGTCTATCTTGTAGCAGAGAATGAACCAAGTAAGCTCTCCTTGTCACCAGCCACAATATAAATGGTGCATATTCTATGCCTCAAAAAACCAAAACCAAAACCAAAAGCAACAAAAAAAACCCCACAGCAGATAATTTTAGCCTTGCTTCTGGTTCTACAAGTCAGCGCTTTCAGGCTGATGAGATCCTGTGCCATCACATCCTGTTCCTATATCCTTCCGCAGGACCTGACCTACAAGCTTGCAGCAGCAGCTCCAAGATTTCTCTATTCAACGATCCTAATGCAGCTGTTCTGGGTGGGAGATATAGAATCGGATCTTGGAAAAGACCTTTAAGATCATCAAGTCCAACTGTAAGTCTAACACTGACTAACCCATGTCCCTCAGCACTGTGTCTACACGACTCTTCAATCCCTCCAGGGATGGGGACTCCACCACTGCCCTGGGCAACCCCTTCCAATGCCTCAGAACCCTTTCAGCAAAGAAATGTTTCTGAATACCCAATCTAAACCTCCCCTGGCACAACTTGAGGCCATTTCCTCTTGTCCTGTCACTTGTTCCTTGGTTGAACAGCCCCACCCCCACCTCTCTCCACCCTCCTTTCAGGGAGCTGGACAGAGCCAGAAAGTCTCCCCTCAGCCTCCTTTTCTCCAGCCTCAACAACCCCAGTTCCCTCAGCCGTGAACTCATCACACTTGTGCTCCAGACCCTTCCCCAGCTCCGTTGCCCTTCTCTGGACACGCTCCAGCACCTCCATGTCCTTCTTGGAGTGAGGGACCCAAAACTGAACCTTTTTTTAGCTTAACTTGTCCTTCAAGAATTTTGTCTTTGTCTGTATGTCTTAGCCCACAGGCTTGTTAACCCAATGCTCCCACCCAAAGAAGGAAACTCATCCTCACTCTTCCCCGCTGCCATCCCTTGTTCTCCTCTTATGGCACTACAAGCATTTCTGCAGCTATCTGGTGAAGTGATTGCCCCAAGCGTGGAGTGTTGCATCAGGTTGTTGTGACCCAGCACTTGGCCTTGTTGAACTCCATACAACTGACCTCAGCCTGTCCAGATCCCTCTGTAGAGCCCTTCTACCCTCAAGCAGATCAACATTCCTGCCCAGTTTGGTGTCATCTGCAAACTTACTGAGGGTGCACTCGATCCCCTCATCCAGATCATTGATAAAGATGTCAAACAGAGCTGGTCCCAAAATTGAGCCTTGGGGAACACCACTCGTGACTGGCCACCAACTGGATTTAACTCCACTCTTTGGGCCCAGCAATCCAGCCAGTTTTCCACCCAGCAAAGAGCACATCCATCCAAGCCATGAGCACCAGTTTCTCCAGAAGAATGCTGTGGGAAAGACAGCACATTGAAGACCCAAAAGCGAGGAGAACGAAAGGTACCTGCCACGAATCTGCCACTACCAGTCTTGTAACTTGGAAAATTCCACAGGAAAACTGGGAGCTTGCTACCAGCCTCTCACAATGGTCCCTTCCACCCAACTCAGCTCTGTCATAGGATCCTAAGTGGGCTCAAATATGAGGCTCCCATCTGGTATTTGGAATTCTTTGATGAAAACATGGACCTTCTCCACAGACAGTCACCAGATAAGAGTCTGGAGTGGTCATGGACTCCAGGGGCTCCTCTTTTGATGAAAAGACAACACTGAATGCTAAAGCACTTCACCCACCTGTACTTGGTAAGTAACATCTATTAAATACACATTTATAAAAGTTTTTATTGCACATTCTATAGTTAATTTACAATAAAATAAAGTAACTGCAAATTGTCTTCCCCCATCTCTGTGGTACAAAGATCTGCAAATAAACAGAACTCATCTTAGGAAGACACATGCCGATAAGTGTGTAAACAATTTTATTGTTTTTAAACAGCCCTTTTCTTCTACTGGCTCCTTTCCAAAAGTCTTGAAAATTATTAAAAAGAGCCCAGCACAGAAATATCATTTTTTAGTATCTCGGTTTATTGGAAAAAGGGCTTCGTGCTCGGAAGAACAATTCAGGAGACCATCCAGTTGTCCCTTCCACTACACCCCCCGCATAATTTGCACTCGAGGGCATATTCTTGCCTTCTGAAGGCGAACAAGTTTCCAGGACTGTATCGTTTAAAAACGAGGCCTTGGTGGCACCTGCAGATACAGGAGTTGTTCGAATCCTGGCTGTACTCCCAGGGTTTAATTTCCCATTTCTGAAGCACACGTCATTCTCACTGTTCTCTTTGCTTTCAGCAATAGGGTTCCTGCCAGGCTGCCCACAGGGTGACTGCAAGTCAGTAGCCCAGCTAACTGGTTTTAAGTTTAAAGATGTAGATGGTTTCAACCTTTTGTTTGCAGATGGAGGGATCCACTCCTCAAAGTTGGTGGGTGGTTGGCTGTTAAGGAACTGCTGTGAAAGAGAGCTCTTGCTGACCTTGTCCTCCCTGTTGCTTGGCCTTTCACGTTTCACTAACCTGCCAGTCAGCTGCTGCAACAGAGTGTTCTGAAAGGGAGATCTGGATCGCTTGCATTTGGAATGGATTTTCGTAGGATTTTTAGGGGTGAAGATAGTGACACAAGAGCTTCTTTCCCCAACAGGCCACAGTTTCTGGAAAGGTTTTGTCATAGGAGTTGACTGTGAATAAGGAACAAAGTCTTGCACGCTAACTGAGCTGCATTCTGAATCGCAAAAGGAGTGAGTTACCGGGGTGCTGTGCTCACCTAAAGCAGGAGGGGATCTACGTAGGGATGAGCTCGGTTTTGAACTCTTACAGGGAACATCGCCAGGATAAAGCACCAATTCAGGAGTTGTGACCTTTTCTGTCAAACTATCTTCTTGTATTAAAGAATTACATGATTTTTTAAAGAATTCTACAGGTTTTGCTACCTCTCTTGCATTTGCATCAAAGAGATCAGCAGAAGCATTGTAGCTGCCTTCGGAGAGGCTACTGTTCCACAGCACCTCCCTCCTGTGAACGCTTCTGAAAGTATCTTCCAACAGTTCTGCCAATGGTTTTAATTCTCTTTTAAATATCCTTCTTGTATTGTTGGGAGTTACGATATCAGAGTCCCATGCCCCTGTGAATGTAAGATCTGTTCTTTGGTTTGGTGTAGAAGAATAATTTTCTTTATTTTCACCACTAGCTATGCAGCCATCACGTGCAGAACGCCCACAAGTAGCTGTCTCGCTCCTTTTTAAACAGGAGGTTTCTCCAGGTTCAAGAGGACACTGCAGACTAATTGAAGACCAAGGTGACTTTGAAATGTCAATATTTGCTTCTTTGGACTGCAGATATCTGTTCTCTGAAACAGAAGGATCTGATGTAACTGGCAAGGACTGCGACAGAACAGGTAGATGAGGGCTAGGGGTAAAGCAAGATGCTCCACATTCCTTGTCAGTTGAAGATGAAACACAAGTGGAGGACTTAGATTGTGACACCTCATCACTCAGAGGATTTGCATTCGACTGAAGACAAGCAATCAGTATGTTCTCCCAGCTATCATTCTCTGCTGGTGGCCAGAACCTCCCTGAGACACTCGCTTCAGCCAAATCACCAGCCACCAGGGTTTGCCTGGGATATGATTTGTTAAGATTGACACCCAACCTGCTACTTTCAGGAAGGGCACGTTTGCTGACATCAAGGCTGGGGGATGTTACAACACTCCTGCCATCTTCTATTCTGGCTAAAAATTCATTTAGGCTTTCTGAGAATGGGAGCTCATCCCAAAGCACAGAGTCCTCCTGAGACACTCCAGCTACACTTAGGTGATGAGAAGCTGAAGCATCTCTCTTGTAAGAAAGGGAGTTGTGGGATTCTTCTGGGTAAGAATAATTTCTACTATTAGTCTTTGGGTAAATGCTTTTTACTTCAAATTCCAAGGGAGGTTGTAACAACCTGGAGCTGTTTCCATGTGAACACTCAGTCTTGGAGGAGGATATTCTCTCTAATTTATCAGTCACAGAGATACTGTCAGTCTGACTAGGCTGTAAACTCAACCCATTATCATCCTGTTTATCCCCCTCCTTCACAGAAGAGCTACAAAACTGTGAATCCCGAAGAGTTTGATTGTTGAGGCTTACACTGCATGATTCTGCAGAGACAGAGCTCCCCTCTTCCTCATGCTGTTTGCTCATCGGCTTTCCCACTTCCAGAGTGGGAAAGTCTTCTGCTGTTACCCAAGCAACAGATGAAGTCAGGCTGAAGGACTGCTGCCAGGACCCTAGAAAACTTTCTCTGCCACTAGACTGAAGAAAATAGGAGTTTCTGCTCGGGCTAGACCAGCTGCTGAGCTCACTGAGAGGCTCATCTATTGGAGCTGAAGATGCATCAGGTAAGTATGAGCTGTTATTACAGCTCCTGAATTTTGCTGACTGCAGGAGCCGATGGAAGTAGCTGATAACAGTAAAGCCACCAACAGCAGCGTTTGGCAGGAAGATCTGGCAAGCTGTAAGGTTTTTTGTACTTCTATTAATTCTGGAACAGTTTTGCAAGATGCTGCTGGCAGCAGAACACCCTCCATCTTCACTTGCACAACCCTGGGGGGGGAGGAAAAATTAAAAAAAAAAAACAACTTAGTACAATGCTTTATTTTGTAATAAGAAAAAAAAATTAATGCATGTCTTTTAAGTTAGGCTTAAATTTAGGTCTCGGTTTTTGTCAGGATCTGCAGGGAAGAGAACACAAAACAGTCTGTCACACAAAGCAGTACTCCCTGGGAAATAAGCACTGGCAAGGGCTACAAAGGGCATCACAGTGAGAGGTTCTTTGCTTGTTGCAATTACGCTGAGTTTTGGAGCTGGAAAAACAACCAAGAATTCTAAGAAAGGACTTGACAGAACATTTCTTCCTCCCTTTAGAGCACTGGGTGCTTCCCGGCCTCCTCCAGTGCAGTTCTGTGCAAATGGCTACTTGCCTAAGGCCAGTGCTTTGCTTTTCTCTAGAGGCACTGGGCAGTACTTGAAGCAAAGCCCTCCAGGTACCAGATACCTGACTTGGCAGCTCAGCTATCAAAGCCAACGTGATATTTTCCTCTGTGCTACCCTGGTTAAAGGGAAATAAGCTACAACTTTTATCTTCTCAGATTTATTTGGGGAGTAGTGTTTCAAAGGAGCTTCAGTTGCAATTCTTTATAGAACCTGCTTCTCTCTACACAGAAACTACAGGTGAAAAATGACATTAAAAGCAGAGGGAATTATCTAATGTTTTGAGAAGTGGATGAACCCTTTTTCACCTTCCCCTCAAGGTGTGGCAATGCCAGGGCGGCCAAAAAGCAAATCTGGTTGTCTTTAAATTCAACAACCCTCTTACTCCCCATGTCTGTGCAGAGGTTGAGGCTGAAGGCTGTTAGCCAAGGACAACACCTTTCAAGGTAAGACTTAAAAAAATCATGTTGATTCTGAGTTTTATCAGCACAACTGCATGCACAGCTGAACACAGCTATACAGGAAAGTCTACAACCAAAGGTTGGACAAACGGTCTTTGAATGTTTGCTCAGTTCTTGTGTGTGCAGGAGCAGCACCAAAGCTGTTGATGTGTAGGATTACTTGTATTTGTAAAGGCATCAGACCTAGAGACTTGGTGAATGGTTCCAGTTAAGTAAAGTTAATCCATGAAGTCCTCCAGCTTCCATTATTTAAGATGAAGTGCATTAGGAAAATCCCAGATCAAATACAAACCTCACGGTACCTCTGGGAGAGGAAAAACACCTGCCAGGTAGGGTTTAGTTCACAGACTTTGTGATATGAATGACTCACACAAGCACAACTTGAAGAGAACTTAAAAGACTTTTTCTATGGAAATATTACCAAGAACTAATATTTCAAAGTCTGTTAAACACATAAAAGAGCCACAGATGCGTATGTTGAACAGCTGCACTTTATCAACATTTTTAAACATGCACTTAAATCCAGAAATATCAAAATGCTGCAAGGGGATGTGTTTCTCCTGACATTTCAGACACTAGGAGACTATGCAGCAAGGGAAAGGCAGGGCAGTACTTGAAAAGACAGTCTGTTTCTTGCTTGAACTGTGCAGAGTTTTTTTTACAGACTCCAAGCTGTTACTGATCTGCACAGGTGCTGGCACTGCTCAGGCTGCCTGAAAAGCAGCCCTGACAAGCTGTCAAGCTGACTACTGCCATTCAAGATGACTTTTGAATGTGACTTATTTTAAATAACACAGGAGTCTGGGGGAAGAGAAGCAGAATCCTTCCCATGTCCTAGCCCTAAATTTTCTCAAATTCCCAGAAGATGTTGTACATGAAGCTTTGATAACTCAGTTTATGCCCTGAACCAGCTACAAGCTAATGAAAAAACTCATTAAAAGACAGTAATGTGGATTAAAAGTTACCTTCACTCCAAATACAAATCTTTTTCCAATGAAACAGGTTTCCACTGCTTGAACTAACACTCCTGAAGATGCATCTGTGTTTGTTTCTCCTGACAGCTCTTGAATATACCTTGAGTAAAAACAAACAGAAGTATGGCAGCAACAGAGGAAGCCTGACATAGCATTTTCGCTGCAGTATAGGTAGGATACATGCTAAAGAGAAGATAACTGTTGTAGCTTTAAACATAAGAATGAGAACAGGAAACCATGAACCTATACATTCAATTCTTTAGTTCATTTCATTTGTTATTGAAATAGAAAGAAACAAAACAACTGCTTTGAATAGGTTGACTATACACACAACTTCTGGGTGTTCTCTGTGAGGCTGTGATTTGTGTATCAACGCAGTGACTGTATCTGGCTGCCAAGGTGCTGCTGTTGCTTACACATCCTTCCTGCCCACATCTTTACAGCAACAGCAGCAGCATCCGAATTAAGACATGCAAATAGCTCTGTTTTTCACAGCTGGCAGTAGTACAGCAGTCTAGTGTAGAATGCCTGCCATGAGAATGGTATTAATGCTGCTAATATGGGATTTAAAGCGTTCATCTTTGACCCAGTGATAACACAAAGCACTGGAAAAATCAAAGAACAGAGAAACCAGCAGTGAACGTATCCAAATATCCCATCTTAGCAGTTTCACATATCAGAAAGTCTGAAGCTTACAATGTAGGTGGTCAGGCTCTGAGGATGTTCTTAGAAATCCCTCCTTGCCACAGGAAAATCTGGTCATCGTGAAGACCAGTCATAAGGTGCACACTTTTTTTTTTTTTTTTAATACAAACTGTTAAAAAAACCCCCAAACCAAAAGAGGCTCTATTATTACCTTAACACTCTTCTAAAATCTGAGGAAAAATGATGTCTAAATCTCTGGAAGAGCCAATTTAGTAATCTGCCATTAGACAAAGAAAATTCAATCATTTCAAATAAAGGATGAGGGATGCAAAGAACCAATCAAACTGTGAAGCCCACTCAGCAGGTGGTAGCTGCCTTCAGAAGACAAGTGGAGGATCTCTTACATACGAGTAATACATCTCAAAATTTCAAGACTTTGGGAAGAAACCAAACTTCAGCATTTTCTCAAGGTGATGGGTACCAAGGAAATGCTGGAAGGAGCTTCAGCAGCTTCTTCTCACTCCTCTCCCCACCATCCACACTCATCTTAATTTATTTTTTTTAGGCTGAAGAAAAAGCAGCCGCTGTATAATTAGAAACAATTCATTCCTTACCTCTGCAGATCTTCTGCAGTGACCCCAAAGAATGGATCTAAGCAACTTCCAAACACGGTAATGTCAAACAAATCACTGGTGTCAGCAATCTTTAGGGACAATCTATACCGGTAGCTTGCATCTTTAGCTTCACCTGTGCAGCCACATTTTAGACAGTTAAACCTGACAAGACAGTAAAAGGATAAAAAAACCCCATTGAATTGGTAAACTTCTGTTAATCACTGCTGAGGTAGAACTTAGCTGCTGTTGTAACTATTACTATTATAATGCACCTAATTAACCATTTCAAACTCTAAGATTATTTCTTATCCTTTACCCCCAAAGGCATTAATCTTAGCAGAGGCTCAGCGAGGACTCTGTATCATGACAGAATCCCTCTGCCTTCTTTTATTGATTTATTAAATGTCAGCCTGTTGTGAAGTTGGAGAGAGACAGTTGGCTTTGAATGACCTGCTGGGGAGTAATTTTGAATTCCCTGCACCCCCCTTTTTTGCATTTCATTCTCATTTGGGATTTTTCTTCCTGTAGCTTTAACATAATACCTAGATTTAAAAAAAGCCATCAGGAAACAGCACTGTTATCTTCTACTTCAGCATTTGAACCAACAGATATCCTTGCTTTGCAAAGTCAGCTTCTATTTAGTGCTGATATTCATGGATTTGCTCTTCTTCTGTGTGTTATTTCACATAACAGTGGGATTAAAAAGGAAAGCTCATACATTTCTGGACACAAAGCAAGTGGAAGAGTCATACAGGACTACCTGATGCATTACAGGTATAGAATGAGAAGAAATTTAAAAAGAAAAAAGGATTTGATATGGAGGGGCTTTCAATCAACACCTTCCAACTTAGGAACAGGGTGGAAGGACTGGACTGCAGGGGATGCACTTGGAAGCTATTAACTCACACCATTTATTCCCCTAAACTGCCCTTCAGTACTGCAGGGCACTGAACACAACTCCTGAGTCATAACAGCCTCCAAGCTGCTGCTGGAATAAAGAGAGATCTAAATAGTGGTAAGTAACAGAAAATATCTGAAATTAGCACATATTTCTATGATGGCTGGATTTTAACCAACTTGTTTTAACTTGGGTTCAGCTCCCAAAGATTCCCAAGGCTTCTGACAGTTACAGTGCATGATCCCCAAAACAGGACATACCTCCTAGAATCCAGTATCAGCCTAGACAAGCATTTCTGACAGGCAGGATAGACGAAGCAGGAGTTCTGGACAGAGATTACAGAGGCAGCCAAGAGTCCTCTCACACTATTCATGTGCTCACAGCATCACCTGAAACAGGTAAGGCAAAATGGTTCAGAGAATTCTCATTTTGTGAGATGTTAATATTGACTGATTTTAGCTGGGTTTTGTTGAACACGTTGAAAGGCAGCCCTCAGGAATCACAGAATGTTGGGGATTGGAAGGGACCTCGAAAGATCATCCAGTCCAATCCCCCTGCTACGATCTCTGTTTGAAAGTGGTAGCCCAACTGAGGCAACATCTGTTACCACCCTTAATTAACTCTTTAAAAAGAACAAAAAAAGATTAAGATATGTAATAAGAAGCAAGTGTTCATTATATTTTCACACCACTGCAGATAAATCATCCAAATTCCCACTTGTATTTGGGGAATCTTTATTAGAACTCTCCATGAGCACAGCACTGCAGCAAATCTGATTCTGATTTTTTTCTTTTTCCTTAATTTAGAACGAAGTCACAACACAGGGTTAAAAACTGAAACGATTCTATGCTCGTAATTCTGCAAATGCCTCTGATACCAATGACTCTGAAATGAAGGAATGCCCAGAAAAATCTCTAAAGAGCAACTATATTCATGCTCTTTGAGCCAAAGGGGCAGCTCTACAGTATTTGCCACTGAATTCAACACAGAGGCCATATGGATCTGATAAATAAATCACAGAATCACAGAATGTTGGGGATTGGAAGGGACCTCAGAAGATCATCCCGTCCAATCCCCCTGCCAGAGCAGGAACCCAAATGAGATCACACAGGAAGGCGTCCAGGCGGGTCTTGAATGTCTCCAGAGAAGGAGACTCCACACCCTCCCTGGGCAGCCTGTCCCAGGGCTCTGTCACCCTCACTGTAAAGAAGTTCCTTCTCAAGTTTAAGCGGAACCTCCTGTGTTCCAGCTTACACCCATTGCCCCTTGTCCTACCATTGGGCATCACTGAGAAGAGCCTGGCTCCATCCTCCTGACATTCACCCTTAACATATTTATAAACATTAATTAGGTCACCCCTCAGTCTCCTCTTCTCCAAGCTAAACAGACCCAGCTCCCTCAGCCTTTCCTCAGAAGGGAGATGCTCCACTCCCTTAATCATCTTGGTGGCTCTGCGCTGGACTCTCTCAAGGAGTTCCCTGTCCTTCCTGAACTGTGGGGCCCAGAACTGGACACAATATTCCAGATGCGGCCTCACCAGGTCAGAGTAGAGGGGGAATGATGAACTAAATGTTTAAATGAACATAATGTTCATTTATGTTTAAAATGAACTAAATGTTTAAATACACAGGAATTAATGTATTTTTATTCAGTATTACTTTCCTGCAGACTTATCTTGGCTTTATTATCACTATACTGTTCAAAATACAAATTTTTGGGTGATGATGTCCTCTATTTTAGAAAGTTATTTTTTTTTTCCTCAGCAGATGCTAGAAACTTGTAGACAAAAATACCCAGAAATACCCCAAATCATAGAGTTCTAACTTCAAATGTTCTCTACGGCTGAATTAAAAGTCACCTTAAAAATCCCTTTTTGCAAAAGCACTTTTATCACATAACAGCTGAACACACATCTCTGTTCAACGTCAGCTGCAGAATAAACTCAGAGCAGAAAGTGAATTTCACATCTTCATCCCAGAATTCACTCAGGGACGCAAAAGGCCACAAAGAAAAAGGAGGCTTGAGTGTGGCTTTTACGTGTTAAAAAACATTCAATAATAAACAATGATATTTTGTTCCTGTTTCACCACAAAAAATGTTAAACTCACAGCAGATTGCTTTGCCCTTAGGGGCACCATTCCCAGTGCTCTGGTACTGTGTGAGTACTAGTGAGGGACTAAACTCCTCACTCTGAGTGGTTCCAAGAAGGAAAAAAAATAAATAATAAAAATAATCAGGCATTTCAACATTCACCATGGCAGAAAAGCCAGGAAAATGTAAACGCTCTACTGGGGTGACAACCAAAATGAAAAATATCTCTCTTCGAAACCCATATTAATGGAGACTCATTTGATCTAATACATTAAATGGTGCGTGCCTTCAATTCTTGTCCAAAGGGAACTATTCTGTTTTAGTTATGGTACAAGATATTAGTAAAAGGGACATGGAAAACATACCAATATATAGAAAAGTAACAAAAATAAATCTGATTTTGTGATTGTCCAGGCAGGTGGACTTGGAGAAACCAGCACGTGTTTCACTTTCCAACTGGTTTTTAACTCAGAATTATATGAACAAAGTATTCTGTTATCTGCGCTTTTTAAAGGCATAAAAAAACCACCCACATCCTGAAAAACACAGTGAGCACCTCGAGTATCCCACTGAAATATGGGAGACAGAGCAGCATGGATGTACTCAACACACAGGGCCTGGCAACAGCTCCCTTTAGAGCAGGGACTCAAGATCTACGCCTGTTTCTCTCTGGGGGAAACACAGCACTCATTATCCGGATCTAAGGTAAAAAAGGACAGTACGAATAAATCTCTTTTACTTTATTTTTTTTAATAAACAAACCAAACCTCTGGACCCACAGACCCAGCCTGGGAATCACAGAGCACTGCCCTGCTCCCCACTGCCAGCCTTTCACAGAATGGTTTGGGTTGGAAGGGAC